CCCCCCCCCCCCCTCCCCCCTCCAGATATAAAATCTTTATTTCTAAAAACAAGAATTCCTGGCTGAGGGAATTTTTTAACGTGTGTAATGTTACAAATGCATGGACGTGAATCTTTAGATCTAGCTGTAGAGCGCACTAAGATGAAAATGAAAAAGATTAGTTGGCGGCTACAAAGAGGATTTTAAGAGACATACAAGAAGAATGTAGTCAATAATGCAACAAGCACTTGAGATAGGATTAAAATCCAGCCTACTTTCCGATCAACAGAAATTGGTTACCGGTGTCTTTGTCATTGTTTTAGAAGCTACATATAGATATATCTGTCGAAAAGTGAGGGTTATTGTCATCATCCTTGTCACAGCCATTTTCAATATCGTTGTCAGATTACTTATGAATGGTGTAGGTAGTTTCACTCTTTTGGTATATTGTATTATTTTAAGCACGGTGCGGGTGGGCAGGGTTCAAAGTTGAAACCCCTACAGGGGTATTTTTATCCTGGGACGCAGGGGAGTTTTTATAATTCATCACCCTGTCATATCAGAGACAGTTCAGACAGACGTTATTTCATAGGTTTAGATACTTTACACATGAATCCCGATATAATATGTATTTCAAATCCAATACACATGCAACGGATTCTTTGTTCAAAATGATAACTAGACATACATGTACAATCAGTACATCTATACAACGAAAGCAGATCCCTTGAGGCTGACAATATTTTCATTCCATGAATATAACGTACGAAAAGGAAGGAAGCCCTGCTGAGACTTCAGTTTCAATTCGAACAGGATCTACAATATCAGTTTATATTGTTTATTCAAACATCGACAGAGACTATAAGAAGAGATACACCCTGAAAGATGCACGGGTTTATTTTTCTTAAAGATAGTGTCCTTTTTCGGTTCAACTAAAGTGTAGTTTATCATCCAACAGACACGATGCACGGTTTACTATTACTATTTATGAGGCAGGATGTCCAGTCAGAACTACTCAGAACCTATCCAGATTGTGTGAGAATGAAATACATCTTAGTCTTAGCTGAAAAATGGAGATAGATACTCGTTAGAATATCTCCCCAATGCCTCGAAATATGGGAATCAAGCTGGCGTCCTTAGGTTGAAAGGCAACAGAGCGCAACAATTCTACAACAGATGTTTTGTAGAAATAAACTGAAATGTTCAGACCGTTTGTCAATGCAAAGGCAAATGAAGTGTGGCCTATTTGGACTCACCTTTGATGATGCAGATCCATGGGTCGGACAGCTGGAACATGCTATGCCCCGGTGAGGGCGCCGTGATTACTGAGGTATCGATACTGCTGGCTTAAAATACTCCACTCAGGGAAAACGTCTGACCTTGCAGGTATCCACCCGTTCACATCCTATGAGCTTCCATTGACTGTCACTGTCCAGTGCACGAGATTCTGTCCTTAGAACTGGCCATAAATCTATCAGGACATTTAAAGCTTGTACCACGTTCGGGAATCTGATTGGTGACATCAGGCGCCATGCGGGAGGTAATTAAAGCAAACAAAAATCCCGGAAATTAAACCTTGTCCAGAACGGCGTGACACATTCGTTGTTCCGCAGCCAGACATGCACGTTTTGAACGTTACGTTAACACTCACACAAGCACTGTCTCTGTATACTACTAGTGAGGGAATTTATGACGACCGAAACACGAGAGTCCGGAGTTTGCTGGCGGAAAACGTTAGAAAGCTCTCTGTAAAACTCTCCTAAATTATCTGCAGTCCCTCGGAAGCCGAAAGCCTTCTAGCCCCGTGATCGATGACGTCATTGTGACTTGAAATACAGTAAAGTAGACAGCACGAGTTGGAATGAGAGAACGGAACAGTTTCACATTTGCGTTTCTTCTTGTCGCTATCCACAGACAGGACAAATGGGTTGTAAAGTTCACACGTAGATTTCTAGGGTTTACGTAACGCTTGGGACTGTTTGTAAACTGATCGAACAAAAAGAATCAATGTATACTCTATGGAGATTCAATGAACAGCTGTGAACCTGTACGGTCTAAAAAAAAAAATAAGGAAGAAATGACGACGTGTTTATCGATTTCAGGTGAAGAAGTAAAACGCTTATGTTACAAATTAAGTCAAGGCCAGAAAAACACCAGTACAAACTGAGTCAGAGTTAAAACGTTGACTAAAAACAGATTTGTAGGATGACCTATCAAAAACAGTTGACGTGATAAAGGAATGGCAAAGCTTCCATATATATAGGAAACAAAAGGAACAATTTCTAATCTTCCACTTATACTTAGTCGGTAGAACAATCAATGCCTTTTTGTCATTTAAACAAAGTTATTACTATGCTCGGAAAATAACTTTTAAAATAATTATAGCAGTGTTGAGAACAAAGTTTCGTGAGTTCTGTTCTTGACATATTACATGTACATGTATTAGCAAAGTATAACCCAACACAGACCTTTTGAATGGTTTGACATACTTTTCTCATGGAATACAAGGTCTGTAAACATCAGAACAAAAAATTGTAGGGGTTTAAGTATTTAACATTGTGTTATTAGAATATTTTAATTTAATGTTTCAGCGTGCTTGAGAGTGGTCGAAAGGTGATGCCCCGGTCTACACCATACACTGACTCATCTGCTTGAAGGGTGTGTTCTGTAGAAAAGGGAACGACATAGCGAGACTCGGTTTTTTAGTCTGGTTGAGGATTTTCCAGGTCATAGCCCTGCATTAGACTTCACAGACTCCCCTCTTATGTACCCAACCAAGCAAACAAGGAAAGAACTTCCGGGTGGTTGTAATGTAATGTGTCAGTGAACGAGTCGGTAGATAATGTGAAGCTAACTTTCAATGGCAAAAGAGTAAAGCAAGGATATTGGTGCTGAATGTCTGCCCGATTTTTAAGGAGAGAATTCATCCTCGTTACAAATTGGGTTTGTCTGTCGCGTATAGATTTTCCTTCATATCCGCCCCCGGGAAGTAATCTATCAGGTAATTGTTTTCTGCCTGCCTCTGCGTTCTCACGTTTTGCTAGAACACGATGGCATATGGAAGTTATGATTTACGGTATACAACGGATTATGTGTCGATGCCAAGAAGAGAAATCACAGTCGTGCATGATTAGCCGTGTGATACATCGTGTCTGTGTTCACATGATCGTAAAGGATATTGTTGTAGAGAATCACTAGATCTAGATCTAGACTCCAATTCGAGACGGAAGCCACCGTGGGTCCAATGATTATTGTTTTTCATTTCCAAAATAGTTGAACTAAACAGGTAGCTAATTATTTGTAACGATATTAGAAGGTGTTATATTTTAATAAAGCTATTTCACAACAATAGATATTGGTAAACATTGATACATGTATTGCAAAGGAGAACCCAGAACATTAATCATGTTACCCAAAACACGAACATTTATTTGTTGTTGTTGTTGTTGTTGTTGTTCAAACTGTACTGATTCCATCTTTAGATTCCAGCAAATACACCTTTTACTTCAGTATTTTGCAAGTTACAAAAAATATCTGTCCGTATGCTGCTTTTTAAAACTTTTTTAAAGGTTGATAATTAAAGTGTGTTCTTGAACGCAATGAATTGAAACTACTTGTGTGAACCGCCATCGTACTTAATGCTCCAACACAGTATTGTTCGAGCACCGAATCACGTCTAGACATTAATTTCATAAATAGACGCTTGCTCTTTGGTCGTATATCAGTTTATTTGATGTTCAAAACCATAATCTAGCAGGAAACTATAAATAATTAGAACCCCTTAAAGATTTAAAATGGCTATCGTGTTACATAGCTTACGGCCACAAAAATTTATTATCAATTATTCTCTACAAGCGATAAACCTTACCTAGATTTCTTTATTTCCTTTCAGCATATAGACAAACTGAATTACCCAATATTTTAAAAAAACAAACGCCCGAGTCTTTTCCGTTGCCATAACAAAACCGTTCATGAAAGTATCAGAAAACTCTATCAGGGCAGAGAGCTCCATCACTCACTAGGACAAACCACTCCACGGTGAGATTTAACGTTATAACCTTAGCAACCTGTCAGATTGGAGCTGGGAGAAGAAAATAGGACAGAGACACAGAGACGATTTCACTTTACATAATAGGAGGCGGAAAATGGTCTGTATTCATAAAAGGACACACTCTGCATACCACCTATGTGAGAATCTGAACCGTTGATAACTGAATGAGCCAACAATGAATACTTGAATGGCTATTTGGGATTACTCAAAATTTTAATGACCTTGACAATTGGTAGACATCTTTTCAGCATTCAAACGTGTGAAATGCTGTTCCTGTCACATTCTTGGAGTACACATGATCCTTACTGTTTTTCCTGAAGGTATCAGTAAACTTATCTATCGAACATGCCTTCGAATTGATATACCAAGGCAGCATGACGCACACAAGACTGCTTCGTGCTGACTGTAGACCAATATTTTATCCCAACCTCGCTTACAACAGCTGTGACATGGACAGATAGGCCTAAGTCGAGAGGCTGAATCAGGCCATCGACAGAGCTCGCCATCTCCACAAAGACGTAAATAGGGATAAAGTGGAAGAGACTGATCGAAGCATCGACACACGTGACTGAATTTCAATAGCAACGTCGAATCAAAACCCCGTGCACAATAGTGCTGACAATTGAAAGACGGATGTTGTTCTCTTCTGGGTGATTTTCCGATCATTAATCTAAGTCCCTGGGCAATGCTCCCCCACACGTGTCATTCTAAAGTACAAAGATTTATGTAAACTAAGCCCTGGTCTACCATTGTCTAACACAACTCTGTACAACATCATGTAATAATAACACCTCTGGGTAAAAATATTTTCGTGGGCGGTGGGGGGCAGGGGATCAATGGAAAAAATCAGAGTGTATTACGTAATTTTTTCTTTTTAACATTAAATCCTTCACAAAGAGCGAACTGAAGGCTGTTGTATGCACTGTCCTTCAGCCGGTAATTTATGATGAGTATTGGTGAAATATCCCAACATGTTGTTTACACAATGATTTCTCATAACACATTATACAGTACGTTTCGAAGGCAGAAAATGAGGGCAACGGAAAGAATGAGATTTTTAAAAAAGACATAGCAATACATACTCAAACTCAAATTCTTCTTTCCCCCTTCCCCCCCCCCCCAAGAGTTCCACCGTTGGCCTTCTCATTCGCCCTTTGGCCAGTTTTCATACCAAGCTGCAACCCGACAGCCGGCGTGGCATATCCCTGAAGTGGCAAATCCAAAATGATGGTTTTCTCGGGAAAATGAGCGCACATCAGAACAAATTACGATCTCCTGATTAAAAGCTAACTATAGTTTCCTGACGCGTAGACGAAAAAAAAAAAGAAGGAAGAACACCATCTTGAAGAAAGTCCCACAAAAACCTTTCGCGTACGTCACGATTAGAAGGCTGGAAATAACTTACGGTACTAACATTACCCCAAGTGTGACTGAGACGTTCAAAACTAAGCGCAGGCCGATACTTTAGACTTAAAAAATATCAAATGTTTCCATTTCCTGTTACAAGTGCGAGAATATTCGCTATTCTGAAATTTTTAGGTGGTGGGCAATGAAGCAACACTATTGAAAGGTTCATTTATTGAGCGCCTTCGGTTTGTTCCATTTTGGGGCCATACTTGTTTTGTATGGTATTTTTTTCCTTTTCTTTCGATACAATTTATAAAGAGAAATAATAATAACAATAATAGACTTTAAACAATACTCAATACATGTAGTTTGTTATGTGGCTGTTGTATTGTGTTTATGGCACACACACACACATTATGATTATGTTGTATTTGAAACTGGGAAGAGGGGATAGCTTTCGTATCTGATCTTTTTTTCTTTCTATCAAACGTGTTGATTCTCAGACGAAAAGATACTTGCCGTTAACTCATTCTGAGGTGTCACTGATATCGATCTTCAGAATTTCTACCGCATATGGTTCTCTTCTTTTCTGACTCAGCTTTATTTTCCAAATCTGGCGTCATGGTGGAATTGTTAGTTTTTCAACTTTTCTGCCAGTTGCACCACTTGCGTAATGGACCAGGCCAGCCCTTAAGTCGTTTTTGGGTAGCGTTGGTTCAGAAAATGAAACTCTTAATAAATATGACGAAGACTGGTTTTCTCGTGGTTGAGTGACTTACATACTGAAATCACAGGATCAAACTATGTGCCATTATTATGGGGCATCATGTTTAATGTGAGAAGGTCCTTTAAAAAGTGAGGACGTGGACAAAGCAGAATTCTAGGCCTGTTCACATTGTTTAGAAAAATAAAAGACAGTAATCCACTGTAATACATTCTTCAATAACACTTTCCTCTTGGCCTGTATCCACGCCGACTCCCAGTCTTCTGCTTGAGTACGCCGTCTCATAACACGATCGTTTATCAATAATCAAGCCTTTTGCAAAAGGCTAGCATAATATTGATCTACAGTTTCGCAAACAGCGTTTTAAAAGCTTAGACTTCCTGTGTGATTGGAAATGGAAAATGATAAAGCAATCAATGAAAAGACCGTAACGGCGACTATTGATTCTAAGGCTATGTGTCTTTTGGTCAGTATATCAAAGGAATAGGTCTACTTTTATTTCTCTCTTTTCATTTAGAATTATCGCAAACGACCAAAATTGAATTAAGAATGCGAATAAACAAAAGGAAAAGAAATTTCAACACACCAATCTATGCTATATTAGATTTCTTCTCTTCTAGATTATGTTAATGAACACAAGGTGATCAACAAGCATTCCGTTGCTAGGAATTGAAATAGAATCTAAGTAGGATTTTGAGAATAAATTTGAATGAAAAGAAGCAAAAGTGTAAGTCCTTACAAAGTGATATAATATAAGATGGAGACTGGCTGGGGAGGGGGTGGTGAGGAGGGGTGTAGATCTAAAACTGCATGACAATGGAAAGTGTAAAGCTTTCTTACTCATAACCATCAAACTATTGAGCG